ACTACGCAGATTGCGTCGCGAAGCTCACGTTCAAGAACCAATCATGTCAACACCGACAACAACAATACTCGTATGAATTATGTTGATAAGATGACTCGTTCACGTCAAGCTAGTGCCGCTGTCACTGGGCGTACTGCTGTTACTAATTTATCAAACAACGCGTCTCAAGCTAACAGAGATTCGTCGAAAGATAGGGAAAGCAGGCGGACTAGGAAAAGGAAGTCTGAGGACCTGGAGCCATCGGTTGACTTAGATCATAGAAGGGGGTCGACCACGGTAGCATCAAGGAAGAAGATTCATTCTGGAGAAGAGCTTGAAGCAACGGATATACCAATAGATCACAGGAGAATGAGAAATACACTGTCGAAACAACGACAGCAATCCCTTTTCCAGACCCCTGAGGAGAAATCCGGAGCATCCCGAGGTGAGTCTTATATGCCGTTATTACCTACAGGTCATAGTGCGGAAATTAACAAGTATACCACGCCAGCAGCAACAACGACAGTAGGAGGTCGTCGCAATAAACGCCCTGCGCCTGGACCCGTCACATCTAGTCAGGATGGAGGGACTGCGGTGAGTGTTGGGCGTCGAAAGAAGAAACCGGCGACAGCCCGCCCGTCGAAGCGGAACGCGCCCGCGGAAGAGATTTTGCAGCAAACAGCGATATTAGATTATGGAGAAGCGAGAATCGACGAAGATGGCGTGTATGAGCAAGTCGATCCTAATGAGCCGCGGTATTGCATATGCGGCGATGTGAGCTTTGGGACCATGATTTGCTGTGAGGATGATAATGTGCGTAAACCCCCATCTGCATGTGACCTTCCCGCATTGAATCACCTGACTGATCTTCTCGTTGTTTTCGTTACTCTCTAGTGTGACAAAGAATGGTTTCATCTGGAGTGTGTCGGGCTGACTGAGGTCCCAAGCCGAACTGCAAAATGGTACTGTCCAGAGTGCAGGACAAAGATTGCCAAAGCTAATGCCGACGGGATCGTTCGTCACGGAAGTCGCCGCTGACTTGTTCCTTCCTGTCCTTCGATATGTTCCGCATGTTGTCGCCTGTTGCTTCCCTGGTTGTTAATGGCAAATACCCTACTAATTCCTGGAGAACTTTATGTATACGCTTTGTGCGTTTACTGCTACTTGTCTACCTTGGACTGAAGCGTTATTTCCTTTTTTGGTCTGGCTTTCTGATTCCCATGCCGAGGATATCTGACTGAGTTCAGGTTGCACAGCACCGCAACTGTATCTATGGACTAGGCGTGCTGTTCCGCGGATATTGACAGGTTATTGTTGGCAAGCATCTGCACAACGTGTCATCCAAGTTGGCTTCGGCGAGTCACCGTCACTTTGCGAAGATTCGAAGTCAAGTGTATGACGTATCTCAGGCTTCGTCAGAGCGAACACAACTATGGGAGAAAGCAACCGCGGAACATGAATGCGTGATTGTCCGTCATGCATACTCAAAATTGTCCGCCACAGCTGTTCCAGGGCTTTGGAGCCAGATCTGACTCCCATCGCGCCGTCTGGTCCCGAAAGCAGAAGCGACTTTGAATCTTCCACCAACTCAAAATCCAACTTCTCTTCCTTTATATAACTCTTCTGTGGAGAAGACAAACTACCTACCTCCAAATTTCCTCACAACTTGACATCTCAATAATCTCCATTCAGACGATTTATTTAAACAATTGCTCAAGATGGGTTGCTCCTGTGGATCGAAATGCTCCTGCAATGGACCTTCTTCCTGCTCTTGCGGGGACAAGTGCTCTTGCGACGGTTGCAAGGTACGGTTGGCTTTCGGCGACTTTGGTGTTGAAGACGAATGAATGGCAATTACTGATCGCCACCATATAGAAATAATTGACATCACCCGACACCGTCCGCCTGTAACCGGAGTCACTGGATGAGATGAAGATTTGATATTGGTAACAATATGGACGATTGGGAAAAGGCGACGTCAATGCTCTAAGTCCCGCCGATTCTTTAGAGTGTGTCTGTATGTTGGCAGTGGGTTTTTGACGATACCATATTGGGGCGTTTGCCAGTTTGCCACATATCCTCACGTCTGTGACTCGAAGGCGATAATCTGAACACGGTGTAAAATGCACAATTCATGGTAGTTCCAATTCACAATGTGCATGAAATCAGCAATCGGGCGTATATCGCATGAATGAGAATTTGCATCCTTTCCTTCCGTCAGTATCTTTTGTTTGCAGCTTCTGGGCATCGTAAGTGCAATCAACGAAACTTCTCTGGCACCCGTAAACCGTTGCCATATTATTCTTCACAGCGAAGTGTGACTATCGTAATCAGTAGGTCTTCCTGTTGTAAGTTCGAATGTGAATAGGTGACTTTGTAGCCGCGGGTCATTCGTCGTCTCAACGCAACTTCATCTCGCCACTCGAGCTTCCAGACATAGTCACGAACATGACAAAATTACATGCTCAAACAACTCTTGATGACATTATTCAAGGGTCAGTCAGCTTACTGCACGAGTATCCGGGCATTCTTTTGCTTCAAAAGAAGAAAAAGGAGACGAAACACAGTACAGCTGAACCTATACTGCACACTCGTCGACTACAGACCACAGCAGGGAACATCTGAGCACTAGCTTGTGAGGCAGTAGGATCTAACTGGTTTGCCTTGTTGCTCCTCCTCTTGCCATCCATTTGACTCGCCGCTCCTGACCTCCCAGTGCTCGAAACTATCATCTACAAGTGCTCTCACCGAAGTTATTCTATTTCTGACCAGCGATACGCTGCAGATAACGAGATTAAGCTAGAGAGAGAAGATATCACAAGACATCGACGTCGGCACTTTCCAGCGGCCCATGACATCATTGCCCCGTCATCATTCTCACATCCACGGCCATCATAACCACCACCAAACATCCACCGATCCCAGAGGTTATCACGATGTCTGATGCACGCAGTATGCTCCCCTCTTACTTAGCTGACTGTCATTGTTCTCATTTTACTGACCATCGTATAGTAATAACACTTATTTGCCTCCCAAACATTCCCATACAGGGGTCGGCATCTTCTTCTGATGCTGCAGGCCCCCAGCACCGTAGGCTCACACTCGGTCCCGAGAAGGACCAGACCATCACTTTTGGGCGTGCTTCCAGTAAGGATGATACGAAGGTGCGGGAGCCGTCCAGAGATAATGCATTGTTCAGGTCTTGTGTCGTGAGCAAACAGCATGCAAGGATTGGTCGGTGGGACCATCAGGTGGGTTGTCGCCCAAGAATTGTTTGCCTTTTGATTGTGTCGTTGACCTGGTCTGATCAATCTGAAGTTGATGAACGATATCTATATTGAAGACTTGGGTTCACTGCACGGAACGTACGTCAATAATGAATTGTTGCTACCGAACACGAAGGTGCCATTGAACCACCATGATATATTGCAGCTAGGTATGAGCTTTCGAGATAAGAAAGGTAAGTACACTATCCTGAGTCGTATACGACATTACCGCGGGCAATGCCGCTTAACACCTCCTTCTTCTTCCTTTCTTGCGGAACCTGCAGGTTGGATAGATTCAGTTCGCATACGTGTTGAGTTTGACCGGCAAATTACGGTCGTGAATTCAGCGTCTGCTCAATGCGAATTTGAGGAACTTTACGAGAAGGCCCTGAAAAAAATACAAGTGCCTACACCAAAATCCGTCGAAACAAGTGATTTTGATGACAGCGGCAGCAGCGATGGATCCGAGGCCGGGTTCTCTTGTACGGGTACATCCCCAGTCAACTTCAATACCTGTGGATTCAACGAATTTAGCAAGTTGAGCATGGAACTCGACAAGGAGGGAAATGCGGGAGAGGATGATCTCGCTACTTTTTTCTCTGAGATTTCAAAGAACGTGTACACGATGCCCGGTTCCGACGATGAGCCTCCCGACCTGACAACCACAGTCTACACCGAACCATCCGAAGATCCTGAAACTAAATTTGTCAAGGAGCTTCCAGTTCTTATTGAGCTTGCTGATTCGCTACACTATTTCGTGGCTCTTAACCCGTCTAAAGAAGATGATGTCAAAGCCATAACTACAGATGCTCTGAAGGCTATGATTAAAGTAATTGATACTGAAGGGGAAACTAGTGCCAACTCAAAAACCGACAAACCTCCAGACTTGTCCCTGTTTAGAGCAATTGCGCAGCTGCGCGGGGAACAGATTGGTCATCAGTTGGCTCGGATTCGAAAAGCGAAGACTGCGGGGATGAAAAGAAAACGCGACGATAGGTATCAAAACCTCAATATTCTCGACGATATTTACGGTACGATCGAGACTAGACTGTCTCCGTTGTTTGAGACAATGAGAAGTATTGATCCGTTGGACTCAAAGTCAATTGACGAGCTTGGCGGATATTCTGAGTCTTTGAATAGACTTCATGACGGGATAGATCTTCGACATTCGAACTCATCGCGAGATGAAGCCGAGTTGGTGCCCCCGGGGTTTCCTGATAGTACATCACGGAAGGCGATGAAAACATCTGGGACTACATTTCCAGGTCAATCGACGCAGCTGTCTACTCCGGGAAATGTAAACACTGATCAAACGTGGTCAAACTCCACAGCACGCACCGTTGGTGCCTTGGCCGGGATTGCCGCGGCGGCAACGGCACTGTTTGCGGGCGGCTTTTTCCTTGGAGGCATGACAATGCTCGCAACTCTTGCTGGTATGTCTGAATAAGAGTTTGTGGTAAAATTACAGCCATTGCATTAGGATAATTACATGCAATCAGATTGAGCATCAATGGCATGGCTCGCGTGGTTATTGTTTTGGCGTTGATCTACTGAAGGGATTGCGGGTGGATTGGTGTCGCGATACTACCATCTTAATCACACAAATAACTTCCTAACCTACTAGTGACAATTATTGAGCCTATAATCTTTCAATTTCATAGTAATTGTTCCTTTAGATAGTCCTAATGATGTTGCCTCCTTGCAATACAATGAAGTATGCCGGGTGATAATCAGGGCCTTTAATATGACATGCACGGTTGTATAGTGTAGTGGTTAGCACATCGGATTTTGACGTCATTGAGCGACAAAATCTTCCGATAACCTGGGTTCGAGTCCCGGTACGACCTTGAACATCATCCTTTTATTGCACTTGTCGACCCGATACCGCTAATTGACAAGCAATGGCTATCGATGTCAGATTTAGGACGGCGAGAGCCAGCAGAGCACGATAGATGGCGAAGAAATTGGACAGTCCACTATGCTGAAGGAACATGCCGACACTCACTGGGTGCAGCATGAAGAGCGGCTTCACGCAGCGACTTGATGGGCTTGAAGATCATATCTGTTGGTACACTTAATTGTCTTACACAAATGCATAAACAATGAAGAAGATATGCGAGGAGCAGCACAATGCGTATATTGATAACAACAAGAGTATATGATAAAGCTGTGTATCCATCATTAGAGGCTAAATTTTACACCTGCTCCTGTACAATCTCTAACTCTCCTGCCCTAACCTAGCCAGTGACTCTGATAAGAATTCAGCCGCATTCAATAGTTCTGTGCTTCCGTAGACTACCCTTCTCTTCGAGTGAGCCTGGCCTCCAGAGCCTCCAACACCTGAAGCACCACCACCACTTGGACCACCACCCATTGGACCGCTTGGGTAATGTGCCCCTCCACTAGTTCTTCGTACCCAGTCTTGAAGGTTGCCATACTCTTCCATGCTACCACCACCAACAGTGAAGACAATGGCCTCGTTAAAACCCTGTCGTCGCTGTCCGAAAGTGGCATTGATGCCTGGGGTTGCGCCACCTAACGATCCAGGAATGGAGCTACCACCTGAACGGGACGCAGAAGAAGGCGGCATAGCACCGCGAGCATTAGCACTGCGAGGGTCAAAGTAGAGATAATTCTCGGTCATTTGAATGGCCGAGCTGGAAGCGCTTGTAGGGTTCATAATTGACTCCGTAATTTTTGTGACAGTGAGATCCTTGTCGACTGGCAGGAAATTCTTCACGCCAGCGATTAAGCTTTCGAAATTAGAGCCTAGCGCGCCAGATGTTATGGTCCCTGTAAGTCGGTTGGAGAGAGATGAAAAGCCACGGAATAAATCAGAAGACTGTTGTTGTGGTTGACTAGAGGAAGAAGTCATCATCGTCATGCGCGTGATTTCACGTACGCGACGGACGTATGTTATCGGGCTGATGTCCTGGACTCCTGCTTGAGTTAATGCCTCTTCGAAGCGAGTGATGTCTCCTTTAGAAAGATCTGTCTCCGTGCTAAGGAACCAGATTAGGAACAGTCGGAGCTTGTCCATCGGGTCTTTGCCTCGCTCTGGGTCAGCAATTAGATCTAGAATTTGCTGCTTGGTCTGCTGCTTCACATTCTCCTCTAGCTGGAAGAAGTTATCGAGCTGCCTGTCCTTGATCTCCTTCAATAGAGCTGTTGCAATGTTCATATGCATGTCCAGAATCGCTTTTCGCTCACGTAATTCAGGAAGTAAGGTAATTGCCGCTTTCAAATGCTGTGCTGAAGCTGATGCGTCATTTTGAAGATCTTCAATGGAGCTGGCACCAGTCTTTCTTGTGATTTCAGCTGCTTCCCCTTTATATCGTGTCAATTCCGCATCAATATTCTCGGCAACCTGAGGAAAAGGTGCTCCAGCATTTTGCTTCCAAAAAAAATCATTCGCTGTCAAATCATAAGACCGCTTTGTCGACCCCTTTTCTGGTGCATTGTCATCAATTGGTGTCACCAGCGTTATTCGGTTCAGATGCATTTTCAGAACATCTTGAATTAGTGATTGGTAAGTCCATGAATGGGAAAGCATTGGAACGAGATCAACGTTCCTGTCGACAATGATTAGGACGGGTCGGCCACTGCTCGCCGGTGTCCCTAGTGGGGTTCGTTGCTGGTTTTTGGAGGAGAATAAATTATCCTTGGAATTGAGGATGTGATCGCGGAGTTTGCGGTCGAGCTTCGTCGCAATCAGTTCGGCTGCGCCACCCTTAGGACAGCGTATAATCGGGATTGATCCTGCGAAAGTCAGTAACAACCAGGAAGGCGAGATCTCCCGGATGGGAAGGGGTTGTGTCCCTCTTGCATACCCATAGTGACGCTAACGCTGAATAGCCCGGTCACGATTCTATCAACGAGTTCATCTATCTCTTCATCCTTGGTGTTATTGCTGTTTATACGCGAATAAGTGTTCTTCCCTAGCCCCAGACTGAATAGATTTGGTTCTGCAACAATGAAGTTCAGGTATTGATCGAACACCTGCGCGATTTTTCCGGAGGTACCACTTGACGCAATCTGATCCGCGAAGTCCTCAAGTACAGGACGAGAGATTGAAGAGAGGAAGTTCACGTAGGCTGGCGAGTAAAGATCGCGGGAAAGATCTGAGGCAATTCGTTTGACATTCTCGTGAGTAGGCTCAACGAGGTAGAGGACAGGGACGTCTGGGATTGGATATCGTATGGAATTTATGTTCCTAAATGTACAAATTAATTGAATGTCAGCTAAAATCTACCCTTGTGATAACCATGTGAGAGCAGACAGCATCCAATTCAGGTATACCATACAGATGGATAGTAACTCCCCAGTTCCTCAGATCGCTCACGCGCAAAACACTACTTATGACATCTCGGCCCATATCATCGAAGACCAATACCTTCCATATGGGATCTCCATCCTCGTTCAGTATTGGCGTAGTTCTAGACAGACTGCTGGTCCCAGAGGAATCGTGATGAAACTCTGATGTTTGGGGAGCTTCATGATTCAAATTGAGAACCTTCTCAATGGCCGCTGAAATAAAGGATTAGAGATGATCAGCCAAAGCTTAATACAACGACTTAGACAGGCCTCACCAATCTGACGATCTCGCAAGGACAATGGATAGGACGTCATGATGATGATGATGATGATGATGATGATCCCCTTCTTCGCTAATGGCCAGCTATACTTGGAAGCGAACTCTCAAGGGAGATGATTAGGGTAGACTGCTCGCTGTATGAGTAACCAATCACTTCTGCTAAGCTGAGCGAAATCGCACGCGGTCGGTAGAGCTAGTGCTCTAGAATTGAGTGACTGCACTTGCGATGTTACGAAAATATAAGCAACCTTCGCGATATAGTCGTCATCACCGTTCATCAACCAGCTCCGCGGTGGATTCGCATAGATGATGGAGCAAATATTATAAAACACAGACTTAATTATAAGACATTATATGATAGAAAAAACGCTAATGGAAATATATTAATCCGTACATCAGGACTTTACTTCCCTTTTGGTGTTTACCGGGTAGTTGCCTCAATTTCCCTACTTCACTTCACAGCCCGCCCTTATCATCCCCGTTCCCATTCTTATCCTCATCTTCATCTTCATCTTCATCCTTATTCTCATTCAGCTTTCATCTTTCATCCCCATCCCCATCCTCTTTCTCATCCTCTTCCTCAACATCAACATTTTTCAACTTCCATCATCGTCATAATCATTATTGTTGTTATCATCTTTGTTGGCCTTCCGACTTAAATTTTCTTCTTTTCGCATCACGTCGTTGGTTTCAGCTTTCGGTTTTGAGCCGTACGCCTTCGTAAAGACAGATCTTGTCTGGCTGCAGTACTCGGACTGTGACAATGCTAAGTATCTGCTGAGCTACTCTCACCTCGGGAGAGAGCGGTTTTATTACGGCAGAACATTGCCCTTTCACAAGGGAAAGGATCAGAGTACATTGTATGAGAAAGTATATTTCCCTCCACTTTTATGTTTCCCAGTCACAGAAGCACAAAGGACGAGGAAGAAGAAGGAAAAAAAAGTGTCCGATAAGCTTGGAAATCGCAGTTTTGGCCTTTTCCCGTCTATCTAGTATAATGAAGCAGCGACCAATCCAGGAAACGGAAGAAACAGCACGACAAACGGCTACACTTCGGGTTTCGGGTTTCGCTGCGATGAACAAGTACGACTGATTGAGACACTGCGAATGGCAATGCCTGAAATTAGGCAAGGAGGCGACAGATAGACTGTGAGACGCATTAGAGGGAGCAAGATAAGGAAGAAGATATGGAACGCGAGAAGAAGAGCAACAAGAGGTAAAAAAAGAAAGGAGACAAAGAAACATAGCCAAGTCAAAGATCACGGGCAAAGCAACTTCTCTCTTAATATCATCGGTGCGGTTTTCATGCGCTTTGAATTCATGCACACTTACTGTTTCTTCTTGTTCCGTTCTGTCCTGCTTTGATTGCTGCGTCACTGCTTTGGCTACTCTGTCCCTCCTTTCCTGCAGTGTTTTCTCTTCCTTCTCCATTACGGATACAATCATTCATTTGGTGTAATCCCGTTGTGCATGTCCCATCAAACTGGACCACACGGCGAAGCTCTGCCTATCAAATAGGCTGGCTGCCTGTTGATGACGCGGGGCCTTTCTGTTGGGTGTCTGTCCCATCCGTGGTTCTTTCTCTCCTGGCAAGTCGCGAAGCTGCCGCTACCGCTGCTATCGCCGGCGCCTCATGTGCCATGCTTACACTTGCACATCTGCTTTTCGGACAGAGCCTCTTTAGCGTTGGCTACGACGATTGTTCTTTTTACAGGCTTTGTTCGTCTGTGCTTGGCACATGGAAGCAATGCGTTGATTACATCTTCGGAGACCTTTCTCTCCCGCCAACAAATAGTGTTTTTCACCTCCTAAGTTTGATTGTTCTTGCTCACTGCTACCCTCCCTCCCTTTCCTACTCGTCAGCACCACTTTCTTTTCATCTATTTGAGGTTCTTTTCTCCATTCTGGGTCCTTCAAAAGCCATTCTATCGTCTCATTGCTCTCAGCTCCAAAGCGTTGCTCGCAGTCTCTCCGTCTAAAAAAGTTCCGCAGACACAGACATGCGTGTCCGGCATCAGTCAACCCGTCAACTTAAACCAAACGGCCAATCCGACAGCTGTCTCTTCCTCGTTCGGCGTTACGTGGTCGCTGCTTCGACGTTCTCGCTCTTATTCACACGTCCCTTGTTTTCTTCTTCTCGCAACGCCCGCATATTGAATTGTGTTTGGCGCTAACCTGATTCAGTTAGACACTCATATAACAAGCTTTGTCTCGGTTTCACGACTCCCAAAAAGGGCAACCGGAACGGCTAAT